TCATCTAGTGGAGAAATTGATAGATAATTTGAAATTAATCAGGAAATATGAAATTACTCCAAACTTAATCACATCAGTTTGCAGATGTTGTTAAGAGTAGCACGTTCCATGATATTTGTAGTGTGCAGAAAACAAACTATTACTCCTCTACTAATTTGATATATTTACCTGTTATTTCCATATGGTAAATTATTTTAGACTGGAAGCTTTACTTCACCCTGTCCAATTTTTACTATGTGAAGCCATCTAGACTAAAACCCCAATTGTAAAATTCCATAGTAATACCAGCAGTGATAGTAATGTTGTAGGAACTACTATTATCCTAGAGACAGGAAATAGGTTTTTTCTTTGGCTAGAAAATAACATGAATACCAGACTACACTTTATGTATATCAGCTGCTTTTTAATCCTCATTATAGTAATTTCTGTCATTATTTATCTTTTAATTATGGGTATTTCTAACACTGCCTGCATAGAGCATCACTTCTACAGGAAGTTTATAAACACTGGAACAGATGTCATTTTGTTTCATGGAGAGCTCTTAAATATTAGCAAGCATACTCCTACCAAGATACTGAAACTCATATACATAATCACCTGGACTATGGACATACGGTACAATTTTTAACATAGGTAGTATATGCTAAAGTGAGTTTGATAGTTCAGCAGTCACAGAATCTTTAGGCTAGTCTGTATACTTTTAACTGACATTATTAGAATCTGAATTCTTGAATGGAAATTTTTAAAAATAGTTTGAAGAGCTGCCTGAGATACGTAAAGAACAAGACTATTAACATGAACAGATTAAAAGAACAAATCAAAAAGATTCACAATCAGGATCAACTCCAGGAAAATACCAGCTGCAATTTCTGTTGAAGATTTTAACATTTTGGGCAAGCTCCTAAAAATCTATCATTATATTAGTATTTAAAAGCAGAAAATATCCAAAATATTGAGAATACCAAGGAGAGGAACTTGTGATTATATTTAGAGCACACTGATGAAGTACTTTTTTTCCTCAATACATATGAAAGATCACCTCAGCAAATGCTTGCAAAGTTCTTTGGAGGTGAAAGAAAGTGTTACTGGATGCTATCATTCTAATGAAGTAGCCCATTAAGTCTTTCTTCCAGGTAGAAAAAAACTGGAGAAAAAAAAAAAAAAAAAAAAGAAGGCAGCCTGCATTCATCTAAACATCTGAAAGTTCAGCAGGACTCCACAACAAGATCTTCATGCGTCTCTGCAACACATCCTACAGGGCTTTGATTTCACAAGTTGCAGGAGACACTGGCTTTGGGAGGAAAGACTCACTGGATAAAAGCACCCAGGAGAGAAGCCTGGGCTTCGTGAGAAACGCAAAAATACTTCAGCAGATCTTAGGGCAAGAAAAAGAACATTAGAGCATTTTCAGTTGCACAATACTGTGTGATACAACCTTGCTTTCTTCCAAGATCTCTGCTCTGGGGATTTTTTGTTACTGTAATGCTGCCTGTGAGTGATTAAATTTCTCTGCATTTCTTTGAGAACAGTGAGATTGTTTCTTACACACAAATAATGTTTACTAGAATTATGTATGGCAAAAAACTCTTGCATTTGAGGAAGACATTTTTAATATATGTCCCTCCTTATCTTAGATTATCCCAATTATGTTAATTGCTCCATTCATAACTAAAAATGCTAATCTAAAATATATCTGTCTACCATACATACATGTCAAATAATGCATGAATTCCTAGATGGATCCCAACTCTTATTCTCCCCTCTTTCCCAAGTACAACAGAAAGTACATGAACAGGAGTTTATGTGCCACGATTATCTTACAACCTGTAATGCAAGATAAAGGTAGCCATTAACTTACTTCTGCTAAGTCTTAGAATATCTGAAGCATACGTGTATCTTAAAGCACGTCAGTGATGTGCACCTTTTATTTCTCTAAATAATAAACACCTTTCACAGAGAAAGATACGGAACAAGCTCTGGGGTATGTGGATACATATACATTGCAACCTACAGCTGTGTGAGAAAACTAAGAATGCTTATAATAATGATTTTTTTTGCTGTCCATTAGACACATTGAACAATCAGCACAAAAGTAACATGTTGTGGAGGTATTTAGTAGGTCATGTACAGGAAGAAACTCTGACAACTTACCAATGTAACAACTGGAAAGAGTGATCTTTCTTTTCCTGCCTGAATTACTGTCAGCAACTACAAAACTGCCATCACATTCATAGGTGAGTATAATCTTACCTGGAGTAAAAATCTTTAGAAGTGAGAAAAATGATATGAAAATTTGCTAGTACCTCCCAGGGGATCTACAGGGTCTGCTGAGAAGCTATCACCTGATCATAAAACTCAAGCATCTGTAACCCGAAATTACTGAGCACAGAGTTATGAGCAATGCCATCTACTTTCTATGCTGTAAATATCATATAACTAGAACAAGAGTTTCATCATCTAGAGATCATTGCTCTGTTTGACTCTGATATAATGCAGCGTTTAATCAGTCTACCTAAAATCACCATCACATATCAAGTAATTTTTCTTGAACTACTAGTAATAGGGGTTTATATGAAAGCAATAATTTCACAAAATAAAAATAACTACATCTTCCCAATATGTATAGAGAATGACTCACCTGACATTCTGATTCTAGTGGATACTTGAAAAACAACTTGAGTATCATATCATAATTTCTCTGCTAACTGCAGAAAGTGAAGATAATTTGAAAACATGATATTTTTAAGGCTGTTACTTGCTCCTTGGAGAGCTAATGTCTTGAGAACTAAAAGTTTCAGTAGCTGATACGTTTTCTTTTGTGTTAAGATACTGGTATTAAATGGAACATGTAGGAGTTAATCTTTCCAAATAAAGCAGAGATATTTCTGTTAAAAGAAAAAAGTATTTTAACTAGAATTTGTTTTTACAGATAATGTTGGCAACAAATTAAGAGCTTTTTTTGGCTGGATAATTCTATAATAGCATGTTCCAGTAACAGCAGGTCAAGGGAGGTGATCCTCCCCCTCTACTCTGCCTTGGTAAGGCCTCATCTGGAGTACTGTGTCCAGTTTTGGGCTCCCCAGTACAAAAAAGACAGGGATCTCTTGGAAAGAGTCCAGCGGAGGGCCACAAAGATGGTGAAAGGCCTGGAGCATCTCTCCTACAAAGACAGGCTGAGTGAACTGCGTCTGTTCAGCCTTGAGAAAAGAAGACTGAGAGGGGACCTGATCCAGGTCTATAAATATCTAAGGTGTGGGGGAAAGAGTGGTGTGGCCAGACCGTTTTCAGCAGTGTGTGGAGACAGGACGAGGGGAAACGGCCGGAAACTGCAGCATAGGAAGTTCCGCACAAATATGCGCAAGAACTTCTTTACGGTGAGGTGACGGAGCACTGGAACAGGCTGCCCAGGGAGGTGGTGGAGTCTCCTTCTCTGGAGATGTTCAAGACCCGCCTGGATGCCTACCTGTGCGACCTGCTGTAGGGAACCTGCTTTGGCAGGGGGGTTGGAATCAACCTCTCTAGGTCCCTTCCAACCCCTACAGATTCTGTGATTCTGTAACGGTACACAAATAAGAGCCTTCATTTTGAATGTAGGCATTTGTCAGCTAACATCAGATGCATGTTCAACTGTTTTACCTATGTAAGTAGATCATTTCTAAAGTCAACAGTGCTTAGAAGAGGCTTTATTAAAACTTAAGATAAATGGGAAGTGTTAACTTCATTTAATGGAAATAAAGTTATTAAATTCCAGAATGCACACATGTTGGTTTTTTTTTTGACATGTATTCAAATTATACCAAGACATACGGTGATTAAGCCTATCCAGATGTACTTTATTATTGATTCCTAATAAAAGATTTTCTGTTAGGAAGGCACACGGGAATGTGTTGATTCACTTTACACAGGACAGAAAGAGTTTTATGAATTAAATGAATACGAACTTATATTTGGATTGGTTTACTGTGAAAAAGCTGCTTCTAATCATGAGAACAAACTGGAAACAAATAAGATAGTAAGAAAATACTATGACTCAATGCACAAAAAAGTAAAAATTTCTAATTGATGTTCTCAAGTGAATGTCTTAGTCTTTTTCGAAAGGACAGTAAGTTTGAATTGAAGTTTTTTATCCACAGAAAAGTAACATTAGATTCCGACTCTTTTTAGAACAAATGCTCTCTATTTCACATTAGTTCCAGGTACATAACAAAGAAAAAGTAATAACAAGATCATTGCTAACTTATTCATGTGCCTTGGAATTACCTTTGGAAGAATCTCATCAGAAACACTGGGAAAGTTCAGAGTATGGTGCAGTTGAAATGCACACAATATGAAAAATAAAAATGATTCCGAAGGGAAAAGCTGTATTCTAGCCATTATTTTTCTATAAATATATAAATATTATGCATCAAAACATGATTTTCAACAGAATGGTTGATACAACATTTAGTTGTTATTATTGATAAGGTCTCACTCTGTACTGCTTTGGAAAAAAGTCATTTCATCCCTTTCCAGAGCATCTCTGAACTAGGGAAAAACTCTCAACTGGTTCCCATAGAATAGGAAGCACTGCATATTTGTACCTATGTCAGGGTTACTTGTAAATAAATAAACAAACAAATAAATAGTGCATTAGAAATCCCTTGAAAGAGAAATTACAGAAAAACAATTCACTACTTGGAGAGAAAAGTAAAAAATGATACTTATTTTTGAAATAGGTCATATATCACCAATTTGTTTGCACTAGTGCAAGATGTATTAGGCACCTAGTCTAAATGAGGACTCTGTGATCTAAGAGGAGAAAGAATGCACTTCACAAAAGTGGTGGATTTGCTGTTAATCTTTTTTTTCTGTAACATAAGAGACAACACTCCACTTCCCGAGAAGGCTAGTCCTGTTAATGCAATCCATCCATACACACATATATACACAGAAGACCTTCCTTGTTCTGTTCCTATTTGTCCTTCCTTGCTTATTATTTGGACATCAGCAAAACTACTTACAGCATTTTCCTTTCCTCCATCATCGGGATGAATCAGGAAGATCTCATTACTGAAAGCTTTCTTCCACCAAAAACTCCTTGTTGATTAGATACAACTGCCACTAAACAAGCTGACCAGGAGGGGCAAGGAAGAGCCCATGAAAGGAGTGGTTTGTCCTGCAAAGAAAATAAGGGGAGAGAGCTGAGTGGAGATGTTGTCAGAGCATACTGTTTGTGCTAGTTTAGATTGAGAGTTCCTGTGGAGACAAATTTATTCTAAAAACTAATGGTGTTCAGGAAAGAACTGAAGCTTCCGTTAGAGAAGAGATAGCAGACAAATCGTGACTCTATCAGGGTAGATCTATGAACAGCAGAACGTGGGGATGAAGATGTACACAAGTCTGAGACTTGCTTCTCTTTAAATGGAGGAAATAAATCTCTATGGACACCCATATGGGTTTTGTATTTACCATGGAATGCACACCTCTTATTTTTTTTTTTCAGTAGGAATCTTGTAATTTGTCAACAGGCAGTATTATATTAGGCTTTTTACTATCCCAAATTTCAATATCATCTATCCTCTCAGGATTCACAAGCATTTTTGTAAAATTGCTAGTCCTGACTTCTCCACCATACAAAAAAATGCATAAAACAAAAGTTACACAAAAGGAAAACATAGCGATTTAAGTGTCTTCAAATAATACAAACAAACAATTATAGCAGATACTGTGCAATGAAAGCTTGCTACCTTTTTTCCTGCTTCAAAAAGTGTTAGAGAAAGTGTTTTCCTATATAAGAGAAATTAACATGCTTTTAAAGTACTGCTAAGAATGGTGTTTGTACTGTGACAAGGAAAGGAGAATCCTGTATCAGCTGCCATAGGTATCATGATAAATCCATCCACACAGTTTCCATCTGCACTAAGGATGCAGATGATTCTTTTGTTACAAGTAAAGCGACTTTTCTCAGGAAGCTCTATGTAAAATGCCAGAATTACATTTGTTCAGTCATAATTGAGCAGCAAAAGAGCATATTAACTGTCCTTGACAGTGGACATCTAAATCTAATTGCCATGAACCTTTCTGCCAGAGTTGCATTTCTTTAACAATATTAGTTGTCCTATACAGGGCCCCTTCAATCTGACTGTGACTTTATTGCTAAGGCAACCACATGTGTACTGCAAGCAGCAGCCATTTATATTCAACTTCCCATAGACTGATAAAGCAGAGCTTTTAAATAGCATTTTCTTTCATCTGTAAAAACTAAGTCCTGAGGGAGCTTTACCAACTTATACCAGTTGAAGATCTGGATCAAAGAGCCTGAAAACCTGACAGAGAGCACAGGGAAAAGAAGCAACAACCTAGGCAGCTCAGCAATGACTGATGGATATGATGAAGGAATCCCCGAAGTCTGAAAATAGGCTGAGGTCCAGCTCTTTAATTAGCACAATACAGTCTGAGTTCCCTGCTGTGCATGGCTGAGAAGGGAACTGAAATGAGATCTATTCCTTTGCAAGGAAGTACAGGCTTGGACATCTTCCCTCTCTGTCTTACTACTCCTCCAAAAGCATGCAGAGCAGGATTTTTCAAACCTGTCAGTCAAATCCACAGCAAAATGATACACTGTACTCTATGTGTTCAAGTAGCAAATTTACTGCACTTCATCATTATCCTTTTCTTAGACATTCTGGAGTTGGTAATCTCACCAGAGCCCTGGGAGAACTGAATCGACTTTGTCATGTTGATGTGGCGGTGTTTACAGCACATATCTGGAAGGTGCAAAAGAACTGTGCTGAGGATGTACAAGCTGCCATTACAAAAACAGTTCCTGACTGCTGACAACTTTTTTTTTTTTTCCGACTCTCACATTTTTGCCCCCATAGTTTGTATTTATATACAGTGCCCCCACTTAAACCAACTATATACTATTTCAATATTGCTTTTCTAATTATAAGACCGTACATCTACCTTCAGGAAGTTTGCTCCATAAGGGTGCCTCCCTCAGGGTTGTGGCAATCTGCAGACCCTTCCTGCCTGCTTCTGGGTCCCCAGAGCATGAACAGCTGCAGCTCATCACATCAAGGCAATCTCACTCAGCTGCTGCTGAGGTTTGGGCACAAGGTGTTCCTACTCTTACTGAACATGCCCAGCCCCCTGACTCTCTACTTCATTTGGGATTTCCCCAATTCCCTGCCTCTCCCTCTCCAGATGGACACCAAGATAATTGCTACCTCAATATATGTTTTGCTGTTGAGATACACACAACAGCTAAAAATTTCTTAGTTTGAAACAAGTTTTCATTCAAAGACAAGACTTGAGATTTCTCTGCTGTTGGTCCTACCCAGAAAATATAGAAAGACAAGTACACATGACATTCCTTCTCCAAAATACAGCAATGCGTTAATTTCAATGAAGTAGTTACAGGCAGGGCTTGCTTTTAAATAAGCTTGAAGTTTTGCTTGTTTTATTCTTCCAGCACAAGCAAGACATAACTTCAACAAAACACTGCAAAGTTTTGGTGGTTTTCTTTTATTTGCTTCATTTTTATGATTTTCTTTCACTGTGGACAATGACATATATTTTCCCTAAACATGAAGTGTGCTTAGAAGCAAGTACTATTTTTGGTTGAAAGATTTAAAAAGGAAAGCAAGCCCAAAACACAGCTGGAGACGGATACTGCACATTGAAAGTTTGGCCTAAATCTGTATATTTTACAAGATTACAAGCAGTGGAAAACAGTGTCAGAGAGTGGAGAGCACCAAGTAGCTACTCTAATGGGTGCCATTGACTCTTTCTACAATGTTCAAATTATGGTAAACAGAATTAAAGGCAACATTGTTAAGTGCAACACAAATGAAAGTGACGCAGAGGTGCAGCAAAAGTAACATCAAGCAAGGGGCAAGGAGGGTCTGCTCTTGCTTCCAACTAAATGGCTCAGTAAGTTAAAATTGGTCTATTTCTCCCCACAGTTATTGAATGTTTGACATACTTTTGAAGATGGAGCAGAAGATGTGATTGAATGCCACGATAGCACAGCTGCTGGTGCAGTCTTGGCTCTGATCTGAGATCTCACGAGCAAAAGGTCACCTTGACTTTCATATCTCATTTTTAAAAGCAAACAGGCACAAACTCTCGGCTCCCTTCTGTTCTGGAGCTCACCAGTGAAATAAAGAGATCAAGCCAGTGTAGCAGAAATCAGCTGAATGCAAAGAATTGTATGGAGAGGGGACAGCAGATCAAAGTGCCCAAAGGGCAGCTTCCTCTACCCAGCTGGGTGCTTGTGGCCAGGGTCAAAGTGCAGAGCCTGCACTGCACCATAAATGCTATCCTGGGCTCAGAGTACTAGCAAGATATTTAAAATATTTGGAGTTTTGGTCTTCAAAATTAGCTTAATATCCCATCAATTTTAACTAAAACTGGTGAAGTGAGCTACAGTTTTATGTATTCAGAAACAAATCTTTTCAGTTTTAGCATTTTAGACTGTCAAATCACTGAAGAGGATTGAAGGTCATGTTTTCTTTCACATTTAATGTTTCAAAAAAGTTGTATATCTATAAGAAAAATAAACTTCGGTGTTTTAAAGACTTTTAAAAGTCTTTTTAGATTTTTTAGATTTTAAATAAGCTTTAAATAAGACTTTTAGATTTAGATTTTAGATTTAGACCTTTAGATTTCACTAAATTAAAAAACTCTAAATATTTAAGGAAAGGCTCATGTTTTCTTCTAGTCTCACCCTCTCTCAAAAAACTGGTAGCACAGAATGAAATTTTGATATCCTCTTTCTTAAGAGTAGAAAAGGGTCTTCCTGTTCACTTTTTTCCTACTTCCACTTTGGATGAAGTTACTTCCAAAAGGATTGAATGAAGCTATTCTTTAGATTGAGAACAAGCAATAACAGGCAATAAGATTTTTTTTTTTATAGTTAATCAAATTCTCAAAAATGAGAGGAGAGAGAAGTTCCCACAGTAAGTTATTGTTTTTAGGATGATAAAAATAAGAAATATAAAAAAGAAGAAAAATATAATTTTACACAATTTTAGTTTGGAAAATATTACTGAATAATTTTACTGATTTAAAACAGCTTTAATCAAAGCCTTCTCTTGGGAAAATTCTCATGAATAAGCTTCCCCTCCCAGTGATTAATAAGCATTGCAGTGTTAGAGCAGTCTAAAATGAAACCTTCAGTGAAAGTCAAGACAAAAATGATGCTATAGAGAGTTTATGAATGCATCACAAACATCATATCTTTTTAACAACTAGTAATCCAGAAGAGACTGCTTTTAAAAGAAGGTTTTAAAAGAAGTTCAACCTCCAAAACAGTTCTGGAAATATTGAAGCCTTAAAGGTTACCCGAAATAAATAAGTTGGTGGATGCCTTATCCAAGGTGGGGAAAAAAGAGTACATGCCCACACTACTGCTGTTTTTATGAGGTACTATAAAAGCCAGGTGAAAAGCTTGTTCAAATAAAATTGCAATTTTAATATAATTTTTTTGGGGCCCTTTAGATTTTGATTTTTATGAGCATAAAGAATGTAATTAACCCCTTTTTCCATCTGTTCTTCAAATCTGTCCTATAATACACCATAAATTTAATCCAGTATTGTTGAATACATATCTTGCTCTGACTGATTATTTTCACGAACATATTATCTAACCCATTCCTTCCTGCAAGCAGCATTCATCTATAGCAAAATATTTTAACTATTTTCTTTCTGAACAATCACTACTCCTCATGTATGTCTTTTGGGGGAAGTTACAGAGCGGCCATTTTAAGAGAGCTTATTTTTCTTAACTATTCGACATCCTCCCCTCCTGAGGAAGACTTGTAAAGAATTGCAGGGTAGCTTTTTTTGTTTACCTAAGGCAGACAGCATAAGCAATGAGGTGCCTCATCACTGTGGGCAAAAAGGTCTCCCTAGAAGGTTATAAAATTGTCCTGGGGAAAAAACAACATTTTCACTGTCTTAGCCTAATTGACTTTCACTTCATCCTTTAAGATGAAACAAAGGCTCACTGCAATTGAGACTTTCTGTAAAGCTAAGGTTTAACCCAGCAGACAGCTAAATATCACAAAGGATTTGCTCATTCCCCACTCTTCTCCCTCTCCCCAGGTGGGGCAAGAAAGAGAGCTGGAACCAAAATAGAACTCATGGGTTGAGATAAAAAACTACTTACTAGCAGAGAAAAAGAAAATTGAAACAAACAACAAATAAAGCAGTAATAACTACATAAACACGACACAATTAGTCATCACCCACCCTCTGGCTGACACACACCACAGCCCATCAGCAATACAAGGACTCACCACTTACTGATCAACATCCAGGAATCCCCTAGCACTAACTAGTCTCTGCTCAACTCCCCATGGCTTTATAACCTTCCACACGATGGACTAATCCCTAGCCTAATTTACCCCACCTGTTCTGGTTCTGCCCCCTGCTGAGTGGCCCTGCCTGATCCCAGGTGTGCTCCCGTTATTCAGCAACAATCAAACCCTGGTGTGGTATTAACACTCTCTTGGCTGTAAACCAGAACCAAAGGTACGTTGCATGAACAATTCAGAACAAACTCAGTGGGGCTCTGTTTGTTCCCTATCAGTACATTGCATGTTGCAGTGAGCTGGTGAATACATTCCAACAGATCCATCATTTCCAAAACAAAAGATGAATTTACATAACTTAAAGATGTGATTACTTACTGTGCTGTCTGATGCTGGCTCCCAGAACTACTTGCCTACAGAGTTTGGATTGTGATTTAAAGAGATCTTAATGGTCCTTGAGACAGCTTCCCATGTTGTTCGGGAGTGGCTGCTGGTCCAGATAGCAGACTCCAGCTCAGCGTCTGCTGATTAGAATATCAACTTGAGATGTTGCTCTTAATTCCACTACACCACCATTTCTCAATCTAATCAATCTTCATCATTACGATAATTTTTTTAAAAAAATAGTTTAAAATTATCCTTTTCTGAATTTAACATTGCAACCTGATATTATTACATCTTGAATAGTTCTCATCTTTCCTTTTGCACCAGTTTGGAACTTATCAGCAATTACGAAGTTATTTAAGTGAGATCTGCCTGTTTCTTTCCTTAATTTTACTTCACAAATCCCCTTTGTTTATTGGGGATCTTTGCAGTCGCATTTGTCTGGTAGACATTAACTTATACACTAATGAAAGTAAAAAAAAGTATGATAAAAGAAGAAAATTCTTAGTGTTAACAATGCCTTTTAGAGCACTACAATTTTGTAAGTCTTAATATACTTAATATTACTTAATTTTTGAAAATCAAAGTCCCTAGTAAAGTCAAAGTAGTAAAGATGTCAGTTACTTGTTACATTTGAATATATAATCTTTTTTGTTTTTCACATGTAAGTTGGTAGATGTGTGAATCAGTGTTGTCACTGTTTAGGTGGATTTCGGTTGTTGCTTAAGGCTCATGCTAAGGGAAAAGAGCTAGTCTTGCAAATCTCTAATTCCTAATTTTGGCAAATTCATCCACTTTATGCTCTTCCATTTTATCTTTCACATCTCTGCTCCTTTTTTCTTGCGCTAGGGAAAAAGCAAAATTGCTGTTCTAATTCTTGGCTGTGGTCACATTCAAAAGTTCACATTTTGAACTCTGTAAAAATGCAGTGGCAGAAGAACAAGACAAAAAATAGATTTTGTTGACTGAATTATGAAGAAGGTTGGCCTTGAGAGCGTGAACTTTGTTTGAGCTATAATGGGTGCAGCAGTGTATAAAATCTAAACTTTTCTCTGTAGATGAATGTCAACAGTGATTTGCTCTTTTCACAATTGATCAGATAAGTACAATGGTGGATACACATAAAACCTTTAAAAATACCCTTTTCCAGAACATAAGCACATACGAAAAGATGACTGTTTTCCTCTTGCCCTTATTGTTACAATGTTTCTGAAGCTTAAAGAAGACCTGAGTTGCACTCATTTAAACTGGGAAACCAGGGCATCTCTTCAGGAACATGAGCTTATTTTTTTGTCTTTTCCACCTGATTTATCCTTCTAAAACACAGTTCAGCAATTAAGAACAGTTTGAGGGGGGGAAAAAGCTGGAAAACTTTTATTTCAATGGCCTATTCTGCCACAGAATACCCGAAAATAAGGATCTGTGAGGCATCCCAGTTCTGTGTTTGTCTCTGTTTTGGGGTTCATAGGACTGCCAGGATCACCCTGTGGGAAAGAGCTACTGGGTGCTGAGGTGGAAGAGAAAAGAAGGATCTTTCTATAATTCTAGATGCTTTCCCATACAAATGTGAGCTGAAAACTCTGTGAGCTTCATTCTGCCTGTGAGGAATTTGCAGCACTGGAGCAGAGACTGTCTTCAGAGGGATATGAAAGTCAGCTTTACCAAAGGTTGTACTAGAGTGAACTTATATTATCCAGATACCAACATTTGCAGTCTCTGAAGTGAACTCCATAGCTGAGTCCCAGAGCTCTGGGTCTACAGAACAACCACCCATCTTGTATTCCACTCTCCTGGGAATTCCTCTTTATTAATTTGAGATTACTGTTGCTAGAAACAAAGAAACAGATAATGACATGTATGCAGCCAGCTTCGCGTTTGTTTTCTTTGCCATTTTAAAATGACCAAATATATATATATATATATATATTTTTCTTCCTTTGATTGCCTCTTTTGTATGTCAGCTGTCTCTGTAGGCAGAAATTCTGACTGTCAAGACACTGTGCCCAAGGAGCAAAGAGAGAAAGGGCAACGGCCACACAGTGAGACTTGTCATCACAGTGTAGGATGACAGAAGGATGCATGCTGGCATGCTTAGTTTCTGGATTTGAAACAATTACTATGATCGTTCTCACTTCCTACAGTCTTTCAAGAGCAAGATAACATACTTTGTCTTAGGTGCTCACGTTTGGGCTTATTTCTCATTACCCTCTCAACTCCTTGTAAAAAGGTTCAAGAGAACCAGTTTCTATCCTTAACAACAACAACAAAAAGCAACAAAAACACACACACACACAAACCCCATAAGGAATAAAGAAAATGCAAATGGTACAACTTAAAGCTCTGTATGAAGTTGTGCCAAAATAAAATCCTAGGGCACATTTACACTAATCATCAGCTGTATTCTTTTTCTTCTCCCGCAGGAGCAGAAATGCCCTGTTGTTCTAGGTCACTGTAGTCTATGGCCTGAAAATATTTTTTGCACGATGATATGCAGATGTATTACTTAAAACAAAAAGCAGATAATTATGCCATTTACAATAACGTCAAAATTCCACTCAGAAATAAAATTGCATCCAGTAAACTGAAAAAGAAAAACACTGGATATCCAGTACATTAAAAAAAAAAAAAAAAAAAAAAAGGAGTATTCACTATCACAATTTCTCTACCCCACTAAATAATGTGTTTTGAAGTATAGAAGGGTATATCCATATGCCAAATTTTCAGTATACTTGAAAATATTGAAGAATTTTTCATAGGCAGGTAGCTGGAAAAATATTCATAGGGGGACATAGGTTTGTGCCAAGTCCTAGACTCTCACAGTTTCATGAAGAAAAATAATTCAGCTCTAAGGCTTTTGCAAGTAATTTTTTATTTTATATAAATATATTTATATATTTTATAATAATTTTATTTTGCAAGTTTTTTCACTTTGAAGAATTCATCCAGCTCTAATGAGAACTGGGGTGTATGGGAGCTTGACCCTTATGAGTAGAAAGAGGCTGAAATGATTTCAGCTTTAATAAAACAGTGGTCAAATGTGGTGATTTCTTACTTGGTGGTCAAACTAACTCCTTATGCTAAAGCTGGAAATAGGCATATTAATCCACACGGCTGGGCGTCTGGATGACAACTTACATCTTCCTGTGACAGACAGAGAAGGTATGAAAGATGAAAGAACACCTTGCTGATCAAACTTTTACTTACGCATTGCAGATAAAGAACTACCTGGAAAGCATTTAACTGTGCTGGAGTAACAAAGGTAATATTGCTTGCATGTGCTTTGTTTATTGCCAATGATAAAACATGTACTTACAGGGAAGGAGATGGCATAAAAGAATAGTGTTAGAAAGATAAATTGCTGATAGAAGCCAGCTATTTTGTAACCAAAAAGCGTGAGTTAAACCTTACGCTTAGATTTCTTCGGAGCTTTACAGAGAGAAACTGTGGACATTTTCATAGAGTGATCTAGTTAATTCCTTTTCTTCATGCAAAACTAGGCAGTGGATTTTTTTGAAAGAAAATAAAGATTGGACATATGAGAATTATGCCAGAAATAAACTATATTGCTACTGGGAAAGTAATTTAAAATCTTTCTTAAAATAGACTAAGAATCTTAGTATTTCCATAGAAAATGTAAAATAAATTGGAAAATATAAACTAGCTCAATATCACCCCAGATTCACAAAAGCCTGCTAAGATAACAACTGAAGAATTGCAAAAACATTAACTTGATAACAAGGGAAGTGTTATTTTCATTGAGGTAAGTGATAACGTAAACTAGATCAAGGTAATTATTGTTCTGCATCATGCAGGAGGAAGTGTAGGCTTAAGGAAGACAGAAGCCCTGGTCTGAATAGAAGAAATCAGTTCTGCAGAGGCCAGTGGAAGAGACCAGAGGTGAATGGAGGTCAGAAAAATGGGGAGAAAGGACCAGAAACAAAGAGTCCCATGAATGCTCAACACCATGACCCAGGAAAAATCACAGGAAATTAGATTTCTCTGTAACAGCAACATGTAAAGTCTTATCAAACCTTGTTTCACCATCACATAAACATTACACCATCACTGCAGGTTTGTGGTCAACATACAGTTAATTTAACATATCCTGAAGCTGTGTTAGTGCTACACTTTTTACATCTGACAACTGGCAACTGTCCGTGTGACTGTGCTTTGATGTCTCATGGCTACCAAGATAGATACTCGCCCTGCTCTGAGGACTCCTGCATCCAGGCCCTTCAAAAAAGCAGCTGGTGTGGGGAGAAAATCCCACCTCAAGTGCCTGCAAGTGCTCTGAGGGATGTAAAGCAAGGAGAACCTGCAACTTTCAAGACTTGAGAGAAATGTATCAGGAGGAAAAGAACAGTGACATCCAAATGCTACAAAGGACGGGTGTTACAAGTGTCTGTGCAGGTGAAAAAAAAAAAAATAATAAAAACTGATAAAGATATCAGTTAACTTCTTTGTAGAACATTTCAAACACTGTCATGCAGGCTGAGGCTACCGACCTGTCAGAAGGGTCAGCAAGTCAGAAATTTGTTCAATGCATATGCATTCATATTTTACATGGGGAAAAAAAAAAAAAAAAAGAAAAAAAAAAAAGAAAAAAAAGACAGTATACAGGAAATTCT